TGAGTCACACGGGTCACACAGTTCAAAACTTATTTCTATCTTTTCAAGACTTTAACATAGTACTAGTGCAAAGAAAATCACCTTATTCAAATAGATTATCCTTCTGGAAAATGTATACAAACACATGGGTCACGAGAATTACATGAAATCATACAATCATATTATTTATGCAATATCTTTGTTTGTCCTTCTTTGAACGCTTTGTTCGTGGTTTGCCGGGGCCTGGAACCCGATTTTGTTTGGGTCTACAGATTTTGTGCCATGTCTCCGGGAGAAAGTATGGAGAGCGTAAGTCCAATATAATATTGCCTCTGTCAGTCTTGTGGATTGTTGCGATTGCGTGACTGCCTGGATATTTGTCTATATCAAACATCTGACTCGATTTCTCCCAACAAAACACAGTAAACAACTCAAAAACAAGAAAAAACCTATAGAATAACAGTATTTAAGTCGAAACTTACCTACTTGCACGATTCTATTAGATTTTCCACTGATTTCCACGAGTTTTGAAGCAATTTCGCAAATTATCGAAGAGAGAGCAAACAAATCGGATAAATGAAGCAAATGTGAGGACACAGAGACCAAATCTGAAGGGAGAGCAACCAAATCGGAAGAGAGAGAGCAAATCGATGGGGAGGGAGAGCAAATCGACGACAGGAGAGAGAGAGTGAAAATAGGAGGAGAGAGAAAGAGCAAGATATGAGAGAAAGAACGCATACGGAGGAGAGAGAAAGTACAAATGCGGGAGGAGAGAGAATGAAAAAAGTGGGAGAGGAGATAAAAAAAAATGATAATGAGGAGAGAGAAACTAATATTTCTTTTTTGGAGAAAATTATTTTTTTTATTTTTTTATTTGTTTTATGATATAAGGGTATAATGGATATTGTACATATGAGAAGGGTATATGTGAAGTGGTTATTTTTTTTTTCTTAGAGAAGGGTACTCTATGAAGTACAAGTAGCATTTTAAGGACATTTTTGATAAAACCCCTATTTAAGTGGATAAAGAGACCAAATAATGATTGGTCGGTCCATCATCAACAGTTATATATATATATATATATATATATATATATATATATATTGGTGCCATTTAAATTCGAAGCTTTCGATCGAGCCTCTCGCACGTCCCAAACTTCTCAAGTTAGTCATTAGACACGTGGTACCAAAATTAAGAATTTTAATTTTATATATTTAAAATTTGATTGGAATCAAAATTTATATAATAATCAAATAACTGTAGTTTTTATAAAATAAAAATTAAATAAAAAATGGTTCAATAATCGAAAACGGAAATATAAATATGAATATTTAGAAATATAAAAATAATTAAATACGAAGGTTTTTGTCAATAAACAATTTGTTAAATTAGGAGTGTGGAGTGTGAGTGTCAGTATGTATAATCCCAAAGAAATTTCCAAAAAAATTATTTTGGGTTTTGTGGAAGTTAAAATAAAGGTCTTAGAAAAAAAGAAAAAAGGTTTGTAAATAGTATTTTATTTGGGTCAATTGGGTTAATCCATTAAACCTATGGGTTTAATGGGTTTAGATCCATTTAACCCATTAAATAATATCAACCCAAAAGCATAACCCCAAAAATGATAATAAATAGGTTGGGTTGGATTAACCCATCAAACCCAACCCAATTTGACATTACTAGGCATCGATCAACGGTAAGTTGGAGATCGACGAGGAAGATATATATATATACATACATACATACATCTGACACTTTTATGTACTGAGTCGATTTTGATTTCAGTTCTTGTGGGCTACTCCTTTGGTGGAATCTTCTAGGTTAATGTGATGATTGCTTAAGATCAGCCTGTGTTGTCTTCTTCTATCGCTTGTCTGCTTATCAGTGGATGTAATTGCAAGTTATGGATGACATTGTTTGCTTTCTCTTTGGCGAAACCGACGATCTTGCCATCTACGACAACTTGTCTCAGATGAATTTCTTTATTGGATACGACACTGTCTCAAAAAAGGTATCGTTCAAACCGACTGTCTGTGCTAACAGATAGTAAAAGAAAAGAAAAAATCGTTACAATATTTTCTGCTTGAATCGTTGTGCTAAGCCGTAGTAAAAGAAAAGAAGAAATTGTTATGATCTTTTCTTATATGTTCTCTAAATCACTTGAAAAAAAATCCCTTCTTTTCATGCCACCTTTCTTTCCTTTTTTTTCTTCGGTGGGTGACTATTTCTATTTGCTTAAATAAAACTAAATTGATCTCAATCAAATACTAGATAACCATATTCAAATCGAGTTCCATATAAAAATTATTTTAAAATCGAGTTATGAGAGGTTTGAGAGGGTTATTCTTCCGGTGCAAAGCTAAAGCATCATTTATATCCAACTTATTTGAGAAGGTTTCACCCATGCTACGTACAAATAATGAGCTCCACGCTTATCTCTAGGTGGATGCTCTTGGAAGGATTTCTTTTTTTCTTTTTCCCAGAAGGCGCCATGGATTTGTCGAACAAAGTACCTAAGAACCGATTTACTATAACAAAAGCTCTTCGTAAGATTGATCTTTCGGTTTCCAGTTATTGGTTTTGGTTAGTCATTAAATCGGAATGGTTACATATTGTTCTGTTCAAACCATCAATAGATAAAAGATGAAAAAAATGCGCCTGATAATTTTATCGATAGTGCATGTTTTTGCAAATGAAGCAACTCAGAGTTATAAACAAACTTACGAAACTTGCGTTGAAAGTTAATAATGATCACTCCTACACACATAATGTATTACATAATCATTGTATAGTTTTTGAAAAATTATATATTACTTATTTTTAATAAATATATTTTGACACAATGTTACATATACATATATATACTATATGTTCATACCATCCACACATCAATTGTGATATTGTGATATAAGATAATTAACATATATGAAATAATATTGATACATATTAGGCTAAGACAACAAGAAACCACTATTAGGTTGACAGAATTAATAAAATTTATTTTTAAAAATGATGAAAATTTATTATAAAGGAAGAAGAGATATATAATATAATCCACTTCCAAAGAAATTTTGAAGGCTTTATTTTCGATGGAAAAGCCGCATAACGCCAAAGGTCAGACCAATCCTCCCGAAGACCGGAGACAGTCTATCTCTTGAAACGCTATGTTTTGTTGGGTTCTTTTTTTTTCTGTTGAATTAATGCTTTTTATCTATTTTATTATATATTTTTTGTATGTGGCATATGATGTTTTAGATTGTATATAAAGCTCATAAACATATTAAGTGTAACTTGCTTTCAAAGAACAAAATAAAATATTTCCATTACAACTGTTCCGATTAACTTAAACTCACATATTTAATTGACAAATTAAAATTTATATTCGTATTATTTTGGTATATCTCTTTTATATAGGAGATTGTATGACATGGAAGAAATGAGTGTTTAGATATAACTATATTCTTGGGAGTAGTATGAAAAATATTTAAAAAATAATATATCTTTTACTACAAGATATATTAACTTCTAAATTATTATATATTTTTGTTTTAGCTCTTTTAATTTTATTTAGTATAACTAATTTAAAAATAAATTAATTTGACTTAATAAAAATGATACATAATTAATTTTACCATTTATTTTATTTTTTATTTCTATATTCGCATTTATATGTGTTTTTTATTTTAAAATTTATTAAAAATCTCTCCATAATAGATTGTATAGGTAGATAAGTTCATTTAATAAAATATATTTAATTTTTTTAATGTGAAATATTATTATTAATATTACTATTATTATTATTATATGCATAAAAAATATCAAAATCTGGCCTATTGTATTGATTAAACATATACTTCACCGTAAAAAAATATAGAAAATTAGTATTCAACACATATATAAAAATGATTTTATAATATAATAATACAATTATATCCATATTCATTGATCTTCTACCTTTTTAAAATATATCAATATATAACTTTTGTTATGTTCATACCAATGATTTTTCATAATAAAAAATAAACATTTTATATTGATAACAAAAAAGAATAAACCGTGCATCCCGCCGCAGTTCACATATAGTAAAAACTAAAAAACTGGAAAATGAAATAGTGCCACTATCATTCATATACCGTAGCGTAGTGGGTTAGAATTCATTTGGGCCGTTGCCAATCTATAGGACATTTGGAACCTTCAAATTGGACTGAGAGTTTTTATTGTTTAAAATGGGATCATAATCTATCATAAAGATTAGGATACTATTTTTAACATAGGCCTATTATATCGTATGGGCCTACACATCAAGTAAAACAGGCCTTTTATTAAAAAATATTTAGATTTAATATTCATAAAAATATTTATATTTGTTAGGAATATTTTGTTTTAACCAAGTTTGTTATTAATTTTATATTAAATTCGATTCATTCTATTTGAAAAAATTAATATCGTTTCGATTTTTAAATAAAACTATATTGTTTAGTTTGATTTAATATATTATTTAATAACCCACCACACAATCCATCAATCATGTTACGTCCGGTTAAAAAAACCCCACTTAAATCCCTATTTCTATTATAATCTTTAAATATATAATATTTTTACATCAAAGTCTATGGATACAGCTCGACAAGCATTTATTAAACACCACTTCGTAAAAGCAATGCATAGACACAACAGCAGGGAAAGCAATGGTTTCCAATATTTAATTACATAGTTATATTATATCATCCTCAGGCAAAAAAAAACAAGGAATGGGGACATGTTGACCCACAACTTTATACAGCATCCTATCATCCATAAAAATTTAAAATTGAAATATTTCCATAAATAAATCGTCGAATCCATTAAAATTGAGATTGATTTTTCTGCATATAACTGAAAAGCCAAATTCATTCCTACGCTCTAAAAAAATCACATGGAAACAAAATTTTGTGAACCTCCCCGATAACTAATAAAACTAGCACGTTTTCATTGTGGTTTTAACAAACATATTATTCTTTCCACTCTTTACCAAAACATTACTAACTAATACTGCAATACAATACAAGGCACAGAGACACGTGTAGCTACATAATTCATGTATGTGTGTGTATATATACGAGGGAATCATTTGAAGACAGAACTTGAGCAGATAAGGGCTTGTCTCTTCTGCTTTATCTCGCGAGATCATCGGTTTTTGTGCGAGAATCTGTTTGATTTTTCTTTCGTTTTTTATTTTCGGGAGATCGATGGAGGTGAATGGAGATGAAGTCGATGGAGACTTGCTTGTGGGTCTGCTCGAGAGCTTTAGATATGGTAATATGTATAAGTATCCCACCGGAGATATTGGTCCGAAGCCTACGGACGATGCGGAGGACGACGAAGACGGCGACGATAAATCTCCCGGTATGTTATCAATTTGAATTTTTTTCACCTCTTGAATTTGTCTGCAACGTTTTGTGTGGTTAATTAGTGAGACTTTGGTTATCTATTTATTGAATTAATCTGTAAGTTTAGTGTTTACATATTACTATGACTCAGGAAATGCGTCGGCCGAGGGAAGTTCATCGTCGTTGGTAACTTCCGGTTCGGAGGTTCAGATTGAATATCCAGAAAACCGAATCGAATCGACCGACGATCTTTCAGAAGCGAATTCCACAAATGGACCGATTACGGAGCAACTGACGACCGACGGTAGCGAGATAGAGATAGAAGAAGAGAAGAACACGAGCACAGAGGAACAACCAGATCTAGAAAGTTTGCTTGCGAAACAAGAAAGATATGATCTGTTTTGCCCGAATTGCAAGTCATGCATCACCAAGAGAGTGATTCTCAAGAAACGCAAACGTGGGCAGCACGTTTCAGCTGAGGAGCTAATTCCCGAGACACCGATCGAACCGGAGAAAACCGACGACATCGATGAAATGGAGCCACCGGTTAAGGTTCCTGCAGTTTGTCCCGTCGACTCAGATGAAGAAGAAGAAGAAGAAGAAGAAGAAGAAGAAGAACCGCAGGTGTTCTCATGCTTATCGTGTCTGAGATTCTTCATCCGGTTAGGTAAATACTCTGAACCGGTTACCCGATCAGATTCTTTGGTTTAGTCTGGTTATTGAATGTAAACCGGGTTGATTTATAATTTCAGGAACTAGTTTCATGCTACTCAATATTTTTAAGAACCGGAGAGAACCGGTTCAGGAGCGAGGTATGTGTGGTGCTTACAAACCATCATTGTAATTGAATATTTTGAGAATATGTAAATATAAGGATATATTTCTTGGAACACGTAAAAGTAAAAAAAAAATCAATTTTCAAAAAAGAAATGACAGAGACGTGTTTTTGCAGCGGACGGCCACGATCGGCCTGTGTCAGAGTCTGGGAGAACACCACCGTCCGATACAGGTTTCGCTGGCGGTGGAGAGGAACACGACCATGATCTAACGGCTGGACAAGCTTTTTCACGTAAGTTTTCTTTTCACCCATATAAAAAATATATTTTTTTCCCTCAAATCACGTTGGTTATGATTTGTCGGAGGTTACGTTGACTAATAAATTCATTACTCGTTCATCACGAGACCAACTTGAGTTTTTTTTGGTGAAGGACCAACTTGGTATTTTTAAACTGTAACAATTTTATGCATTTATATTTTTTTTATTCTTTTTATTTAAATATGTTTTATATAGTTATATATTTTATTTTGAAATTACAAAATCTAAAGCAATCTCATTACCAATTTACAATACAAATTGGGCACCAATTTACAATGCAATAGTGTTTCGAAATGGTTATCATAGAGGATTTTGCAACGAATTTCAATTCATTATCATCTCCTCCGTCTATATTTAGCTGGACATACACTATATAGAGATTCCTATGTATATATGAAGTGGATTTCAAATATATACGATTTCAGGTTTTCAATTAAATATCAGACATATATGAATATCGGAATTTAGAACTAATAAATATATATCACAAGAAATTAAGTATGAACTTTATTGCACAGATGACAGAGAAGATGGACCCAACTTAGAACCGGAGGATATTCGACCGCCCGATTCGCATCCAAAACCACAGGAGAGACCTCCTTGTGATGATGATGGTGCACAAGACACTATCTTTACGACGTCAGAGGAATCTTCTTCAAGTAAAGTACTTCAATTTCATAAAAATTAAACCTGTTAATCCGGTCCGATAACCAAAAGATTATCCAACCACTGTTGTGATTTTGATGATGAAATAATAGACTCTTTTGTCTTCTAATGAAGGTTACATGCTCCAGTCTTCCAAATCAATGGGAACTACTTGGTGGTGGAGACCTAGTGATATCAATATGGATCACATTCTAGGTAATTTTCGGATCGTTAGTCGGTAGACACGTCGGATATTTTCGAATCTTGCAACAATTTCCGACATAATTAAGTGAATAGATAAACAAGTCCCTTAACACTTTCATAGGTTCAAGAAAGCTGCCAATGCCGTCTCAACCATTGGGAGTTTTCCGGTGGGGGAAACCTAGTACTAACATGGATCAAATTCAAGGTTATAAAAACACCGATTGGATCTAAATTGCCGGGAAAAAAAAAGAATTTTGTGATCTAAAATGTTATTTTTCCTTGAAACTTTATAAGCCAACAATCTTATACGTATTCCATGTTTTTTATATATTGTATTCTGAAAAACGTTACAATGTATGTGGGGAATCAGACAAAGATAATTTACAAGTAGCAGTTCATGGGGAGACCACAAATGATAGGGAAGGATTTGGACATGAGATTTTAAAATGCATTGTGTACGGAGGCTTAACCGAAGCCATCTCTAGTCTTGGCGTTGTCTCCTCCGCAGCTGCTTCCGGTGCTTCCACGTGTAAGTTTCCCATTTCTAAATTGTTAGAAGAGCGTATACATGTTGTGTCTCGATATGTTTACTGTCAAAATGTAAATATGTCGGTCCATATTTACAAAAAAACGTTATGTTTCTATATGTATATACTATCAAAATCTGACGCACGTGGTGATTTTTGTTGCTTTTGTTTTTCAGTGAACATTTTGGCCCTAGCGATTGCCAATTTGATCGGCGGTCTTGTCGTATGCGGTCACAATGTAAATCAACCATACGTTTAATCGGTTTTCTTCCTGCTGTCCATATAACGATATCGGAGTTTAGATGTGTTGGAAAACCGGTTTCTTGCATTACAAGTTATACCTTAACCGCTTCTCGAGTTTGCTCAGTTAACTTTAACCGGGGTTCATCAGTATTTAAAGCTAACATCGCTTTCTTTTTTGTTCGGTTTTCTATAGGTGCGAGATCTGAGAAACGAAAACGTCGATTTGGTTACAAACCATTCAGAAGAGCAACAGAAGGATCATTACAGTGAGTTGCAAGGAATACGAGCCAATTTCCGGTTCCACGTCTTCATAACGGTCCTCTCTTACATCTTCTTCGGCTTAATCCCTCCTCTGGTTTACGTCTTCTCCTTCCACCGAACCGGAAACAGGAACCATACCGTCGTATCGGTTTTCTCGGTTTCTTTGGTTTGCATCGGGTTGCTTAGTATGATAAAGGCATACATTCGCGAACCGCCCAAATCTTACCTCAAATCCGTGATGTATTACGTGGGAATTGCCGTTTCCTCGTCCGGGATTTCATATGTCGTTGGAGATACCGTTGGAGGATTTCTTGAGAATGTTGGTTGGTTTGACGTAAGCCAAACCGGTATGACTTCGGTGTTGGAGGGAATCAAATCGGTTGAACTCGATCTAGCTTCCATCTGATTGTACCGGTTTGGTTTTCAATGCGACACAAGTGATTGCACCGAATGTAATCAATATCATTTTTATTTCTCTATCTCGTTCCTTTCAGGTTTCCGACAACTCTAATGTCCGTGGAGATTGAAGACCCCGTGCTCTTATGTTGTGTATCTTCGAATTCCGTTTTGTTTTCAGGTTGCTGTTGCAATTTATCTTCATAAAAAAACAAAAAAACATACTGCGACCTTTTTTCATAACAAAAAAGCTAATATTTTGAGATCCAAACGCCGTTCTTTTAGAGTTTTCGTTTTTTTTTTGACAAAAAGGTTCCTTTTTTAAAGCAAAAGATCCACTTTTTTTAATATGTATATTTATATATATAAATGTGTGTTTTTCTGACCGTCCAACGCCACAGCAGTAAACACGTGGATGGATGCAATGAAAAACCTCATATGTTCATTTTATAACAACTTTTTTCTTGTCAATATTGTTTTTTTTTTACTTCAATCAATATTGTTATTGTCAAATTTAGTTCAGTGAATTAATGGTTTTGATCAGCGGAGATAACCGCGAAAGAACTAAATGTCTGTTTTTTTCTAAAAACAATAGAGATGGTAATGCTATGCATATTAACATAAAAATATTAATTTACAATTAGTTTGAAATTCGGATCAGTTAAAGTAATAAGCAGGATTTTGATAAACAAATCAAAGTTCAAATTATGACGCGGCAGAAGATTATTGAGAAGCGAGGAGGATAGATCGGGGAATAAACACAAAAAAGATTTTGATGACGTGGCAGAAGGCGGTATTACCGTACATCCATCATTGTTTTTCTTCTTGGGGAAGGATCATCCATAAAAACAGAATAAAGAAAAGACAAAAACCTCCTCCTGGGTTTTTCATCTGTTTTTTTTTGTTAACCAGGTTTCTGGATCGAGATCCAAACTAATCACGGAGCCGATAACCAACCATGTGATTAAATTATATGTTCTCTCCCTAACCTAGGTTTGAATTCGGGACGGGATAGACTCTGTATCTCCGTTTCACCGGTTGAACTACTTAGGTTGGATGTTTTTCATCTGGGTTCATAAACGACGAGGAGTCATTTCCGCGGCTTTTTTTTTTTTGGAGAGGAGCAAGTTGGTGAAAACTGGTAAAATGTATGTATGAATCTTCTTCAGATTTTTCCTTCATTCTTTTTTTTTAAAATGTTTTATTTATTTTTTAATTCCTTCTGCTGATGGGTTGCAGAGAAAAGCCTTAATGATGTTTCCCTGTTGTTATGTTTTATGACTGAATCTAGGAAAAACTACCCTTGTTGTTAGTAAAAGCTTTGTGTCATTGATGCGCATAGTGTTGGATTTTACAATGAAAATCCCGACCAATTTTAATTAAAACCAAGCGGGACTCCAAAGCTCAAAAAACGCGTTACTATTATTGTTAGTTTTGGACCGACATTACATTTTTGGAACTATTTACCCTTTCATGGTAAATTTTCCCAGACAAGGAAATGATGCTTTATTAAATATTACCTACTCTGAGCTCTTTAAGCAACATTCGTCTCAAGTTTCGGCAGTTTTGAGAAGTCTGATGATCTCGGGAAATACCACAAATGGCTATATGGTAGTATATGTACATGTATCTATGTATAGCTTTCAGTAGCACTAATAACTGATATTAATTTGAAATTCGGTTATAAATTCTGATAAGATATATTATAATGAGAACTTAATTAAACAAATATAAGTTCAAAACTGTATCAAAGTTTCAACAAATAGATTTTCCTAATTTACAGGCCATTTTTTCCATTATCGAGAAGCTAAATACGTTGGAATGAAAAGAAAAAATGAGGCGAAATATCATTGGTTGGACTTTGATGACGTGGCAAAGGAGGTTATTTACCGTACAGCAAAGAAGCTTAGGGCCGAAGCTTTGTCGCACTCTTAAATCCCTCACCCTCTCACTGTCGTCCCTTCACCTTCCTCTCTCCTCTTGTTTCTTCTTCTCGACGAAGGATCATCCATAAAACACAGAATCAAAGAATAGACAGAAACCTCCTACTAGGTTTTACCATCTGTTTCATAAACGAGGAGTGTTTTTTTTTTTGCGGCGGAGGGACAAGTTGCTGAAAACTGATAAATGTAAGTGATGAATTTTCTTCTTCTGTTTTGTTTTTGGTTTTTCTTTGTTTCTGTCTGCTGCTGTTGGGTTATAAACCCTAATGTCTTAAAAATCGACTCTTTTTGAGAAATTATGTTGCTCCTCTGGGTTTACGTTGTCTTTCTAGATGGGCTCCAAGGGGCAGAGCAAGAGGCGTTTGATTCTATCTGACGATGACGATGATGACTCCGACACCAGGAAGTTCTACCGTTTTAAAGTCCTGTTACCAAATACAGCTACTGTGGAACTCACGGTACGTTACTCAAAGCCCCAAATGCCAATGGAGCTTTTCGTGAAGCTGGTGAAGGAGGAATATGACAAAACCCGGATGAACTGTGGGTTGATGAGGAAGAAAAAGCCGATAGGCTGGAACTCAGGTCCCAGGTTTTGTTTAGAGGATTCTAATGGTAACAAGATGAGGCAAAGCGTTAGATTCGGAGAGTTTAAGCCTTGCCAGATGCATATCGTATGTCTCCATGTGAGTTTCCAGCTCCCGCTTCAGTCTCTTGGCTCTGTTTCATATTCGTTTCCTTATCATATTGGTATATTTGATCTGTAACTGGTTATTTCAGAAGTTCTTTCTTTTCCAGCAAAACTTGGAGTAAATATTTCTCCTTTCTTTGGTTTTGGATTCCCCATGATTTTTGGTTTCATGTTGTTGTTCTTCCTCTGGATCAGGATGGTTCTGGTGAGGCTGCGGATACATTCGAGGTGAGTTGTGCACCTTGTCCAGGACAAACGTTGAAATGAAATTTCCCTGCTTTTGCAGCGAATGTTTCGGCATTGCAATTTCAATCTGATTGTGCTGATGAGCGTCTGATTCTCAGAACATGTGGGACCTGACTCCTGATGTTGAAGTGTTGAAAGAGCTACCTGAAGATTATACTTTTGTAACAGCTCTTGCGGATTTGATAGTAAGTCTTCCATAGATAGCCGTGTTTTACAGCATTTTTGTTGGTTTTTACATCGCTTGTATCATTATCAACGTGAAGTTGCCTTGGCTTGTATTTGACAAGATCACTGGACTTTTGGTTGGTTATTTGACTCGTTAAAGATAACCAAGCCGAACTGACGTCTTTTATAAAAGAGATTTAGTACTCAGTGCTACTTTTCTTGGCTATCAAACCTCCATTTCTCTGTTTGCTCATTTCACAGGACAATTCCTTACAAGCTGTGTGGTTTAACTCAGACAACCATCGGAGATTTATTAGGTGTATATATGCCTCTTATCTTATATGCAAGGTTGAATGATCACAACAATTTTTTTTTTTAATTAAGTGTGATTGGTTTTGATGAATTTTACAGTGTGGATATTCGTGAGGACCGAATTTCAGTCTTTGATACGGGTTCCGGAATGGATGGTAGCGAAACGAACTCCATCGCGAAATGGTAAAGCTTTTTAGAATTTACTGAAGTGTTCTGGGTGGGAAATAGAACATATTGGTATAACAGATCTTTGTTAGCATGGCTAGTGGGTTATGAACTGTGAACCATGTAACAGGTTTTCTAGGCGAATTAACTTCACAAGTTTTATGCACATTGGAATGAAAAATTCGGATTGGCTATTCTTTTCTCAGTATGACAATAGTCGGTTTTGTTTCTTATTGTCAGCTTTTGAGCACTGTTTTTCTTCTTGTGTAGGGGTAGGATGGGTGCCTCGTTACACAGATCATCGAAACCCCTGGCAGTTGGTGGCAAGCCTCCATATTTAAAGGTATGAAATGATTCTTAAAAACTGTCAGAATAATTTAGAGACATCATATCTATCTCTGATTTTTTACATAGTGTGGATCCTATCTAAAAGGAAGAGGACTGCCAAAGATAATAGGTGTTTACAATTTTATATACGGATTTTTGTAGTAATATTGGATTGGATTTAACCATTCTAAGTATTGTAGGCGATCTGCCGAGCTGTCCAAGTGTGTATAGGCATTTCTAACAATTTTCTTGCTACTGTGACTAGAGTATGTTTAAATTTGTGGAGACATCAATATGTGACATGAATACGACTTCATATCTAGGTTTTTTGGCATATATAATTCATAAACCGTGGCTTTTTCTTTCCATATGTGTTATGTTCTGTTGATGATCTGAGTAAGCTGCTTTTGTTTGTCATGTAGCCGCTGTTCGGGATGTTTGGATATGGAGGTCCTATAGCCTCTATGCACCTGGGAGGGTGAGATTTTGCCTATTGTTTCATTAGATAGATTGAGATCGACAGATACTTATCTGCTTCATTTTTGCATTCTTTTTGTTGAATTGGATTGACGGACTTTTTTTTATAGACGTACATTGGTGTCTTCCAAGACAAAAGAGTCTAAGAAAGTTTACACTTTGCTTCTCGAGAGAGAAACTTTGATCAACCGTTCTGGCTCTGGTGTTACTTGGAAGGTTGGTGAATGTTCTCTTGTAACTTTGCTTTTTAGGCTTGTTTCTTTTTTTAGCTACAATAAATTTTACTACTTTTCTAGACCGACGGTGGCATGAGAGATCCAACGGAGGAGGAAATTAAATTGTCGCCTCATGGAAGTTTTACGAAGGTGCAAGGGTTTTCTTACTTGTCATCCTTTCTCTTTAGCTGTTCAGGAGTTAGTTATCTGTTTTGGCGCTATCTATTTTTTTTGTTTTCAATACCATGGCATGAGTTTGCTCTTGTTTACCCGGTCCCAAGCCCGGATAAAGGAGTAGGTGGTAACCAATAAAACAAAAACTATGCCTATCTTACATGCAATGAATTCATGTTTCAATACCATGGTTTGGCCCAAAAACTTGTATTTTTGTCTAGTCTTAAAGGAACTACGTGTTTCTATATATGTTTATTACCTTACTCATAACATCAATTATTCCTCACTCTTTGTAGGTGGAGATTTTTGAACCAAAGCTTGAAATGCCTGATATATCACACCTCCAATGCAAGCTTAAGGACATCTATTTTCCTTACATCCAGGTAATTGTGATAAGCAAGAATATATTAAACTTATCTTTCTGTATCTTTTTTTCCTCCTTTTTACCCTTTCTGCAATATTATGGTTGGAATTCTCTTGAAATATTTCTAGTACATGATAAAGAATGTTATACTAATCGACGTTGGTTCTAACTTCTAAGTGAGCAAAGTCCCTTAGACTGGTGTCACATAAATACAAATTAACACATAAGTTTGTGTTGCTTTCTTAAAACAGGCATACCCTTGTGTTGGATGTTGAAAAACAATTAACAATGCATGATTGGAATCCTAAGTTTCCAATTTGGTCGCAATGGATTACTATGGTCTCTGCATCTTTATCTTGATTTATTTATTTGGTTTTCCTGAAATGTAAAACTGGTATTGAATTTTGCATCATCATCATCATCATCATCATCATCATCATCATCATCATCATCATCATCATCATCATCATCATCATCATCATCATCATCATCATCATCATCATCATCATCATCATCATCATCATCGTGCAGTGTGATGAAATCTCTGAAACAGGGAAGACTGAGATGCCGATAGAGTTCCAGGTTTGATCTTTATACCGAGAACCTTTTTGTAATACTATATAAGAGCATACTGAACTTGCGAGATCTTTACAGAACTGAATTCGCATAAGTATTTCATGTCTTATCATCTTGAGAAAACATAAAACGAATTGAAATGTACCAGCGAGTTCAGATTTCTTTAAATGCAATCTTGCGCTCTATGCTATATGTGATGCAAGAATATCTGCTACCCAGAACTTTATCAAAGCTGTTTAAGTTCTGATTTTATGGTTAGATATCATTTTATGCATATGTCCCTGAACTTGGAAAATCAATTTCGGTATGACTGTTTTTCCGTTTCTTTTTCTCCCCTTCTGTTTTTGTTTGTTCTTTTCAGGTCAATGGAGACAATTTAGCTGAACTAGAAGGTGGAGAGGTTGCGATTACCAATTTAAACTCATGTACGGGCCGTGAATTTTCTTTTCAGCTTCGATTCTGTGCAAGTGGTGAGAAAACAAAAGGTATGTCCTTATGTAGATTTGGAGCTTTTCCCTTTGAAAAGATCGCTGTTTCTCACCCCTATGTGAAATAATTTCTACGTTGGAATGTTAAAATATTACGATGCACCTTTCACATAATTGCATTCATGTACATGTGTGAACATCAGCATACAATAATTTACCCCCTTTTCTCATTGCAAAAGAATGCACAGGCTAATTGTAACACCATGAAAGCCTCACTTTCGAAAACTGCCAAAGGTTATGTTACCATTTAGTCTTAATTCTCATTTCTTTCCAGGGATATCTTCAAAGGCAAATGCTCGCCTCAAGTTTGTTTATTTTCCAATCATCGAGGTACAAACAATGCATTCAGAAAAGAAAAAAAAACATAGTGACTCTGTTATTTTCTTCAAATGGTCTGAGTACTGAAGCTTGGAATGCTTATGATGTAGGGGAAGGAGAGCATTGAGAGAATTTTGGAAAGCTTAGAAGAGCAAGGATACAGAGTAACAGATAGCGTCGAGACCTTTAGTTGCATTTCAGTTAGAAGGCTCGGCCGTCTACTTCCAGAAGTTTGTTGGGTTAGTTCTCTGTAGAACAGATTGTTTATAAATACCAGGAAGCATATAGAACTTACCTTCTGTATTATATGCATGCCTGGCCAAAAGTCACTCTGAATGATATATCTTTTATGGAAATTTTGTGGCTATATGTGTTCCATGTTTGTGTAGGTGGTATGAAACATTTAGTTCAGTGATGCCTTTCTCTTGAAACTAATTGAATGTGTGCAGCCACCGTTTCCGTTTATGAACTTAAAGCTGAAGAAAGGTGCTAATGCCCCCATATTGAAGAGTTGTTCCTCGCGAGTTAAATGCTTTATCGGTACGTGGTTATAAGAGTTCTAGCCGTTTGACGATCAACCCTCTAAACCTATGTGGTATGTGGAAAATAAAAAACATTGCCCCTTTTCGAGTTTTGGAACACATAATCATTTATGCGTATACAGGAAAAAATATACCAGAATTCGTAGTAGATTAACACTTGCTTACCCTTTGTTGGTTACAGACTTGGATGCTGGCTTCAATCCAACACCCTCGAAAGTGAGTTATTTTTTTTAACATTCTCAGATTGCATCCCAAAACATTGGGTTTATACCATGACATCCCTTTTTTTCAGACTGATCTTGCGCAGCAAAACCCTTATTCAAGAGCTTTGAGAAACTTTGGGAGTAAATCTACAGAGAAAGGTCAGTTCGTAAACCTTGTACAACCAACAATGTCTTTGTCATGAGTAGACTTTAATTAACTCCTTGGCTTTAAAGATGTGAGTATCGAGATGCATAGAGCCGGAAAGCCGTTGAGTTACACACAACTTGAAAAGGAGTTTCAGAAGTGGGTTCTGGAAATGCATCATTGCTATGACAGAGAGGCTGAGTCCACTGCAGATGAAGGCATCCTCATTGTTGACTCAGAAAACGACCCCTTAGATAAAAACGCTCTTCGTATTTTAGGCGATGGTAAGCGGTTTCATGTATGCATCTTTGAGTGCCATACCATCAAAATTTTCATTTTAAATGGAAAACATCCAAAATATCAGCTTCTAAAAAATTTTCAAATGCTCTCTTTTCCTGCATTTAAATAAAGGAAGTTATTACTATAAAAAATGGAAATTTGCCTTCGTTTGATTGCTAGTTCACAGCCCACAGCCATTGTGATTGTGCCGTTAGTCAATCTTCTTCTTTATCTTCTGTCTAGGTCGTATTTTTCTCTAATTTTATATGAAGCAAATGCCTAATTTGTACATGTGGTGATTTTTGAGCTCAAGTTGTTCGGGTGCATGAATGTTTGAAGAGAAAAGGGGTATCATGGAGTCGGGGGCAGAATATCAAGATTCTGAAAGGTGCATGTGCAGGAGTTCACAGCAACAATATATATGCGACAATTGACTATTTCCTCGTCGAAGGATTCCAGGGTGAAGCTGGAGGTACTTAGCATCTCTGTTCTCATTTACTCTGTAGAAATGAAACTACAATTTCGAGTTGTCATGTCTCAGTTGTGTGATTCTTTTGCTTTGAGCTTCTATTTTTGTCTGTTGTGTTAAGTTTAACTGAAGCTTAAATAGTGTTAGTGATATTTCTGTCTGTAGGATTTTGTTTATAGAAGAAGCCCTTCGTTTTCCATCCACTGAAATCAGTTTTTAAGCTATATGATTGCTACAGTGCTATGTGAATCTCCTTAAGCAGAGTGAAGTTGTAAAAGAGCCTATGATGGGTCATTAGTCTTGCAAGTTAGTACTGAACAGTTCCAATATCAAAATTTCACAATAAATTAAAGAGGTGGTGAAAGATTATGAGGTTTTGTGTTTGACAGCATTTCTTGCTTTGTTTTTTGTTGTTTCTCCTGAACAGGGGATGCTCGGGTCATATGCAGGTGAAATATTTTTTTCTCGGATCATTCTTAAAGTTAGATGATTTTACAATTTCTAGTTCCCTTACCTCAATCTATAAAGGCCAATCAATCGTTCTGAGAATGAGGGATGCTTGCTTACAATCATCAATGGATTCCCAAAGCTGAAACTACAAAGTTCTCTTTCGCTGCCGATCAGTATTATTGATGCCGGAAAGGTCAGTTACTCATTTATTTGCTTTTTATTTGTCCTCTTGATTTGTTTGTTGATTTCTCTTTCTGCATAACAGCTTTGACTTTTTCTTCGAAATGTTTTGATACAGTGCTTAGCTGTTGAAAGACAAGAATGGGATACTAAACTTGAGAAGGAGCGGCTCAAGGCTCCTGCATCCATTGATTTGCTGAATGAGAGAGAGTGCCTGGAGCTGGATATTGATGGGGTAGGAAATGTATTTAGCACTATAAATGAGTCGTTTAGTAGCAGTTGTGGAGTCAACAGTTTTGATCTTGATTTTAGGCAATGATACATAATGTATTGTTATGTTACAGGCACTCCCTGTTGATGTATCAGTACGTGCTGGGGAAGCTCCACCGCAGGAGATTGTGGCGGTTGTCCGACCCGTCAACTTCACATCCTCAACACCGTCAAAGAGGTTGGATCAGAAGCAGGTTGTGAAGCTTGATAAAGAAATGCATATGGAGATTAAACTGGTGAATGGAACTGGTAAATCAAGCAACAAAAATGTCCAGCATGTATTTTCACAGCGTGTTTCACATTCTTCGCGAAAAACTGTTCATGGGTTATACTTCTTTTCGCTCGGGTCCAAGTTCCCTGATTTGTTCAAGAAAGCTGGGATCTACATGTTCTCCTTCTCCGTTGTAAGGCACTTCCGAAATCATATTTACTCAAAAACATTCTAATTTTGAACATTGTTAGACCTCTTGCTTTTGTTTATGAAACTACAATAGAAGGGCTGCTTTTTTATTTATGAATTTGAAAGAAAGAAAGTTTTGTCTTGTTAAGTTGGCCAGACTTTCGTGTGATGCGTTCTAATGAACACTTGTGATCCAGGGAAAATCGTTGTGCTGCACAAAGACTGTCTCAGTTAAAGCCTCTTCAAAGGCAACAAGCTGGAAACTTAATAATCTGGAAAACTTGTCCCTCGAGATTCGGTAAGACTCATAATCGTTTCATAGACCCTATAATTCTCTTGAGAATTCAAATTCGGGTTGACATTACATAGTCAAGTATGCAGGGTCGGTTCTTGTTTCCCACCTTTCCGTATTGCTTGCTATGACATGTATGAAAACCAAATTGAGTTCTCTTCTACTCCAAGTCTTGAAGTGGAATTGACTGCTAGCTCAGGTTTTAGACTTGAAATTGACAAGGTGAAGGCTGATGTAATAAAAAACAGATCCATTCTCAATATCGAGGTATGTTGCTATTACTTGCTTTTCTAAAACAAATTGGTACAGCAAAAATGCTAATTTTTGAACTTAGCCTGTGATGAAGGTTTGACTGTGAAGATTGCCAGAGGAAAAATGCTCATTTATGTGATTTTGAAATTCATGCAGAATATTATTGTTGGGACAAATGAATTGGACAGGATCCGACCAAGTTATGAAGCAGCCTTAAAGATTTGTTCAAAGGATGAACCACTTTGTGTCTCTGTTTCTTGTAAAGGTTAGGTTACTACTCTGATCTTATTATTTTCTATCCTCTCATCTGTCTCTTCTGCATAATTTGTACACTGTTTGATTAATTTGGCTGGTGTAGGCTTGTAAGCTATCTTTTTTCCGGATACATCCTGTAATTTGTGTTTTTCTCTATTTATAAATATTGAAATGAAAACCATCAAAAGAGACGTTACATGTGGTAAATATACATATTTTCTTTAGTATGTAGAGGTACATTAGATATTGGAGAATGCTTAGTTTAGGTTTTAACTCTAAGATAGTCTTGATTGCACATTTCATTTTTGTAGGCCTGAATAGAGATTTGTTTTCCTTAACGAGTTTTCTTTTCTTCAGTTAAGCCAGGCCCTCTGGAGCATGTTGTTGTAAACAATCGAGAAGCATTGGATAATCTTTTTCCTGATTTCACTGTTAGAAATCTTACCTTAGAGGTATATGCAAGTATATATATGTACATATATGATATATTTAACTGAATTAGATGTACGTCGATATACGTATATAAGGTCGCTGCATATATCCTCTGAAGAAGTAATGGCTCCCAACGGTAATTAGTTGTGTTAAGAGAGTAGACATTTTGTTAAGGTGGTTTATGTGGTTTATAGAAGCAGGTTTAGAAAATTTAGAGAGTTGAGTTTACTAAGTTAAAAAGTTTGAGTTTGGATATATCAAGAAGTTAAGGGAGTTTGAAATTTTAATGTATGGACTAAATAATTTTGAAATTGTGAATTTAAGAGAGTTGAATTGAATTAACCATTGAATGGTAAACTATTTTTATGTGAACTCAACTGACACAAATTTAACTCTTTAACAATCAAATTCAATGTTTTTACCACTTCAGACTAACTTTGAAATTTCATGTAGATGTTCGATGGATATGGTAACCATGTCGAAGAAGGGACTGATGTTATGTTACATCTTGATGGCTTCGAAATCCAAGATCAGATGGGATTAAAACGTAGTGTACGTGAAGCTTACTTTTCTTGCTATGCTTGTGATTCTTTTCTCTTTTAGAGAAATCTTAGTTGTGTGTGTGGTGTGCTTTCTGAGTCAAGTTTATGTTGTGTTCTAGAAAATCTTCAAGATAATCGTTTACCATCAATTTCTGTGGGCTTTCATTTCTGGTCAGATCCTGGAGTGATGTTATATTTACTGTATTTTCTGTCAGCTGTTGTGGAAGAAAAATAGAACCAATGATCTAGCTGATGAGTGGAAATAATCCTATATTGAAAGTATTGTCGTAGCCGTTATAATGTTTTTCGGTTGATATAATCAGCTATCAAATCTCCTCGGTTGATTTGAGAGTTTGGATTTCAGTGTCATAGATTTTTGGAAATTCACAGGTTGATGATTGTGGCTGCATTGATCTCTCTGGAGTTCTCAAAGTCAAAGCAGGCTATGGGAAATCTGGTAAGTTGGTCTCGTAAATTGCTACATTCTTCTGTTATGCATTCTTTGTAAGTTCGGGTAGTTATATTCTGATTTATCTTGTGGTTTTGCTTCTCGATAGTATCGCTTTCTGTTAGGTCCAGTGATGAAGAAATTTTCAAGATAGAGTCAGAAACTGTGAGAAGAGAGCTCCAACTTGTAACAGAGGTCGGTAAGCATAACATGCGTGGATTCTATCTGTTGCTCATGCGTTGAACACTTCTATGAATCTATGTTCCTTCATAGTAATTCTTATTCTCTTCTTATCTTTCACTGATATATTTGTTTATGATTACAATCTAAACAAGTACGTTTTTTTTTCAGCTGCCAGAGTACTGTACTGCCGGTTCTAATCTTGAAAATATTGTTTTCAAAGTGACGAATTCGGATGGTACTGTTGATACAAGCATTCACGATGATGAAAAATCCGGGAGTTATCATACCCTTACCCTAAAATCTGATCCAGCAATCTCGGAGAATGCCATTCGATATGCCTTTGTACATGGCTGCTGCAAAATCCCTTCTCTTTTTCTCCCTAAAAATGAAGGTCTCTTTTGTTTGGAGGTGTTTCATTTTCGTCACTCTGAGCTTCACATGAGCTTAAAGGTAGTAACTTTGGAACTGGGCCTGATTCTATCTTTTGCATTTGTTTCGGTTTTTTTTCTTTCTGGTTGCATTCTTTTTCTCCATTTCTTTTCAGATATCTGCTTGGTGCTCGCTTTTCTGCATACTGGTGCTGATTCTCTTGTAACTCTAGTGCAGATTTAGCTAGATCTCAATTCTCAAATATAAAACCCGATATAGGAAAGTGTTTCTGATTCTCTTGTACTCTTTTGCAGATTCAGCTCATGGCTGCTCCTGAATCTGAAAGAGACGACACTGAGTCTCCCTATCCATGTTCAGGGAACGGGATTTTTCCTGAGTTTCATCCACACGTAAAGGTAGCTTGCGTACTGTGATATCATAATTTGGAATTTTGCATTTCTTCCCTTTTTTGTTTTGATTCATTTACCTGTTGAGCAAACATACTTTTGTGAGTGTTCTTTCTGATCTATAGATCTATCACAGACTTGAGTATGGTCCTCTGTTATATATTCTTGGTGTTCACTGTCTTCTGCATATATGTGTGGTGATTCTCTTATGTTTTTAAGATTCAGATTGAGACTGCTCCTGAATCCGAAAGAGAAGAGATTGAGTCTCTCCTTCCATTTTCGGAGAACCACGTTTTGCCTCTTGAAGTGTCTCCTTCCTCAATCCACTGCCAAGTGAGCTTAATGTCTGCACATGAGCGCAGTGAGGTATATATGATCTTCAACCATGTAACCCATGTCAAGGCCATGAAGTAGCTTTACATGCTTTGCTCATGAAGAGGTTTCTTTCAGAATCTAAATTGCTTGTCTTGTAACATGTTGAAACTTTGTCACATACCATCATTAAAACATGAGATCAGAACAGAGATCATCTTCATTAAGCAAAAAAAGCATGTTTTTTTTTATGGTCCAAGCATGTCAAGACCATGCATTTGAGGGCTTGTGTTCTTTTGTTGGTATTCGTTATTTCTGCAGGAGTTATTCGAAAAACTTGAAAGATACGGCTCACGAAATGGGGCACTTGAAAAGCAGCTGAATGGTTTAATGACTCAGAAGAAAGAAATCGAACAAGACTTGAACATATTGCAAGGTATTATTCATTTATTTATTTGCATAATCTCCCTACAATAGCCAATCCATTGATAAGGCGTTGGGATTGTTTTTCTCCATTTCTTAAATCATATCAAAAAGCTTCTCTGGGACAACTTGATGATGCATCCTTCCCGGAATGCTTAACGACAAAAGAAGCATTGATGAGAAAGATAGAAATGGAGCATTTCGACTCTGCTGCATCGGTTTACTGCTGTCTGTCCAGACACATTTCACCATCTCGAGCTCAGATTCAGTTAAGGAAGGATGTGATTGGTCCAGTCGCACTTCTTGGTTCAGTTGTCTCCTCTTCGCTTAGCAGGTGATTAATCCGACTACCCTTATCCTAGTAGTGCACACGGTCGGTTACCTGAAATTTTCGGGTTACTCCAACCTGAATCTGAACCTGAACCTGAAAGTCTTGGGTTTCTTGTTTTGTCACTCAATCTTGTCCCCGTGTATTTAGGTGTCTGAATTGAAACACCCGTGCGGGTTTGCCAAAACCCCAATATTCGTAACAATACTTAGCCAAATTTGGAGATTGGGAAAGCAAAGTGATTGGAATTTTGGCCAATCACTTTTTTACATCTCGTTGCCAGGTGGGTATCCGGAGGTTGGGTGACTTCGGCCACCCCTATCTCTTATCATGTATCGTCTCTGGTTGGGACTAAAGTTTATGGTTGTGAACTCCTTTTTGCTAGCGAGAAAGGAGGGGGTATTAGACGTTTTGCTCATCTGTTTTCTGCAAGGTCCAGTCCCAAGTCTTTCGGGTTTACAAAAGTCTTGCCTTTTTCTGTTTAACATTTTAATTCCTTGAGCTGCCGGGTATATGCAGGATACTCTCTGAATACTTGGGAAAAGAGACGATGTTAGCGTTGGTATGCAAATCATATGAATCAGCTCGTTCGCTGGAGCGATATGGACCAAACGGTGTTATAGATCATGAGTTCGGGATTCACGCTGAAGCAGCGAAGCTTCAAGGATCCGTGGCCAGTCGTTTTACCGTCATATGTCTAGAGAGAATCAGGTAAAAAAACGTTGTCAGTTTCTTTTTCTGTTCAATATCCTTTACGTAACAGATAAACAACAGGTCATTGTTCTCTTGTTTGCAGACATTGGAAGGGCGGATATGTCAAGAACGATCCATTGAAAAGATTAAGTTTGGGCCGACCTAGGTTACCGAATGGAGATATGGTACCGGGCTTCTTGGGTTATGCCGTGAATATGATCGATTTGGCTTCAGAGTTGCTCAGCGTACGGATATCATCGGGCTACGGCCTGAGAGACACTCTGTTCTATGCACTTTTCAAGACGTTGCATGTATACGAGACCAGAAATCATCTGGAAGCGGCGCTTCCGTACATCAACGGTGGAGCTGCGGTCTCGTTAGATGGTGCAATCGTCAAAGAAGATGGATTCATTCGTCTCGGAAGCTGGTACGTGGCTCACTTTCTCGTTTCAGAATCTTTTGTTTCACTGTCAAGAAAATGGGTTTCTTTTTCTGTGGGTCTGTTTCTTTTCTGCCAAGTTACCATCGAGTCCATGATGGACTTTTTCTCTGATTCGAATCATCCGAAATTTGAGAAAAACCGCCATGAAAGCTCTGGTTTTTTCCTCGCACACCCTTTTGCCGATCCATCTGTCTTGTTCTGCCAGGCGGCCAGAAATGTATTTCCCTGTATCGGTAAAATCAGAAGAAACACAATCGATTCTGAAGGAGATCGAAGCGAAGAGAGATGATCTCAGAACTATCGTGGAACAGATCACGGGAACTGACAACTCTCTGCGTAAGGTTCAGAAGAAATTCTCCAAGAGGAAGAACGAATACGAAGGGCTCCTTGGGAGTGTCACGAATCTCCCGAAACGACGTCGTTTGGAGTTCGACGAGCATGTCGCGGCAGAGGAAGACGACGGGAGTACGGCCGACTAAAAGACGATGAGTGGATTGGATCAGAAGTTACCGGTTTGATGAAATCTCCGGTTTACCAGTCGGGTATGGCCGGTTTTTTTGGTTTGTGGATAATTAGTCGTCGATACGGGTACGGCCCATTTAAAGTCCAAACGGTGTAGCCCTTTTTACGGATTCTGTGTGGACGGTGAGGAGTAATTAAATACGTTTTCATTTCAAGGCATAATTATCTATGATAATAAACCCTAGAGTCCACTCTCTCTAATTTTATTTAATTTCCACTTATAATTAAATATTAAAAATGAAAATGAAAACGAAAAACACTTCCTGTATAAAACTAGCCAAAAAAAAAAGAGAGAGAAGAAAAAGCTGTGGGCAAGACCCCAGAGGGAAAGAGATTC